CTTAATCATTCTAGCTCTCAATGCTTTATTACAGGTGATTGCGAATTCGGTTGCTAAGTTGAATTCAGCGGATGTACTCAAGCTTCTTAATTCCCTTCTACCTATACTGCAATCAAGGTGAGAGTTGAAGATAAATGATTTTTTGTGTGTGTCATATGATCTGTTTATGTGTTTGTTGATGCTGATTTTCAAGTGGTGATTTGTATACCTTCTTGCTGCAGGGGTGCAATTTTAGCTTGTACGATTCCGTGGATTAAGAGTCTGTTACTTACTCATTCTAGTGGAATTATGTCCCAAGAGTCATCATTACTCGCATTAAACTCCATGTATCAGGTTAGGAATTGCTTGTTTCCATTATAAAGTTTTCCTGGCAATGGTGGCTCGGGTAGATGATTTATTGATATGTTCTATTGGTTGCGTGTGCAGCTCATTGAATCACGGGTATCGACTTATCATACTGCCGTAGAAGTTTCAAGCAGATTGGATTTGGTATGTATTGTATTACCTTGAAACGAGGAAGAATTTGATTTCACTGTGTAGGCTAGGGGTACCATACTACCATTATTTGGCCTCTGATTCCATGGATCACTTTGGGAATCATATAAGGCAATGGAAGTCCTGAGATTCCTTTGCATGGATAACACAGACTTTTTGGAGTTTATAGTATGTTACTGATTCGTCATTGATTTTGGTAATGGCAGATTGTGGATGACTGGGATGAAGAAGAAGATGAAGGTCCTGTTATCTACGAGGACAAGGACAGTGATGACGAAGAAGGAGAAGGACCAAAAGAAGCAATGGAAACAGATGAAGAGGCAGACAACTCATTGGAAGAAGAAGCAGCTGATGGTGTCAGTGATTTCGAAGAATTTAACGACATGAGCGATTGAGTAGCGCCTGAAAATGCAAAAAAACAAAAAAAAGTTTTGATTTTGTTCGAGGCTGATTGATTGTTAGATGTTAAAGAGTATGGCTGAAAGGTACAATCTCTCACGGCAAGAAGTCTCGGCATGTAATACGTAATGGTTAAATGGATATGAACGAGACTTTGTACTGAAAAGGAGTTTATTACTATTTTTTTATAACAAGCAAAAATTGACGAGAATGAAATAAGAGGTATTTTGGATAAGAGTTTGACAAAGTCAAACATGGTAGAGAAAATGATGGATCATGAATAACGAAAAGCTTTCCATGGAAAATGGAACACCATTGAAATATAGAAGAGAAATTGTTTATAAAGACGCGACTGTTACAAATAAAAGAAAGAAATTGTTTGAGTAGAAAGCAGAGAAAAAGTAAGAAATGGCGAGCGGACAAGAGGAATTCAGTGTGAGGGCCGGCCAAATCGTGGGACAAGCACAAGTCAGTGGTCTTGTTCAATTTCCCCACTACTTGTGCCTTTTTGTGTGATTATTTCAAAAAGAAATTAGACAAAGAGTTTTGTTATTAAAAAAGAAGTATAATAAAAGTAGAGTTTTTGATGTTGATATCAGGTGAAGAGGGAAGACAAGACCAACTCTGCTCAAGCTTCAGGCTTTTTCCAGGAGGTTAACTAACAAACACATCAACTCTACATGTTGTTTATAG